TAGGGCTGCTCGATTATGGCAAAAATCATAATCTCGATTATTTGGGTCAATAATTGTAATTACGATTATTAAATGTGATTATTCATTGACTTTGAAAACATCCATTTATTGTACTTTAAAACAAATAATAATTTGAACTTTTTAACTGTTGAATTATACGTTCAGGTTAATCAACTGAAAAACCAATACAAAATAAAATAAATTATACCTTCATATCTACATTTAAATAAATAATATCAAAATAATAAATACCAATAAACAAGATCAACAAACATGTTGCAGTGCACTGTCACAACCTGAAAACTCCTTAACATATAGCCAACATTTTGGTAAAACATATTCAACATATTCCACTCAGTTAAACATTAAAGGCTGGCCCATCGTCATGGTCCAGAAGTAACAGGAAATACATGTTGAACTACAATTTAATACCAAATAAAAATGTTTTGGCCACCATGGAAAATGTTGGTAGGGCTGCTCAAGTCATCTCTTAAAAATGTTTTGCTAGAAACTAGGGCTGCTCGATTATGGCAAAAATCATAATCTCGATTATTTGGGTCAATAATTGATATCACGATTATTAAAAACGATTATCCATTTACTTTGAAAACATCCAATTTATTGGAGAAAAAATGTTTGAACAGAATATTTTTAACAGTTGCTTACCCTGAACTTTAAGTATAACTCAATTGAGAAACCAATAAAAAAAAACATTAATAATAAAAAAATAATCGTTATATTTCGATTACGTTGTTTTCGTAATCGTTGCAAGCCATAATCGTAATTGCGATTAAAATATGATTAATTGAGCAGCCCTAAACTGAATATAATCCTCTATTTCACACAGCTGAAGCTGTGTCTGCAAAAGGTTATTTAATATATCATAAGAATTTAACCCGCTCAGTACACAATGCGTGATGCTGAGCTGCTGTCCCTTTAAACACCTTTAGTATTCCATGCATTGTTTCTAGTGAGGGATCTAATTGTAACAAACATCAAATAGAATCCAAGTGAATTGGATGAGAACTGTCTGTGTATGAAAACATGGTCACACTTATCTACCTGTGTCAGGGTGAAAGGAAGTGTCAGCGTCTCCTCTGTTTCTCTCCTGCTCACAACTTCCCACACCTCTCCTGTCTCCGTATTCTTCTTCAGCTTCACCTGGGAAGACAATACAGGGAAAAGATTCAAATCAAGGATAAAAAAAGAGATATGTTATGACAGTCTGAAAGCATTTTAAACACATCATAGCTTAGACGCCATTATTCTGTCATGAAACTAAATTCTGTTCCTTTCTTTTCTTCTCTAGTGCAGTTGTGACTCAAAATGTAAGGCTGCAGTGGTTGAGTGAGTTTGATAGCCTGACATATTTGATGGATGAAAACGTAATTAGCTACAGCAGTTAATGTTGATATCTTTAAATGTAATTTTTGTTTATGAAATAATTCCACAGATATTCATTTTTAAATGAGAAATAACCGGAAACAGCAGGAAATGTTCAAATGTCTGCCATTTGTGCTGCAAAATGTGTTGAAAATGAATCAAAATCGTGATATGGGCTAGTGCAATAGTCAAATGGCAGGAGGCACAATAGGTTTTCAAGGCAAAATAAGTGTAAACATGTTTCTAAATTAAATATTGTGTTGCTGCATAGAGGTCTGGCATACAAATGGTATTCTACAGATTTAATAAAAAATATCATTGTTTAGTATGGATACAAATGGCACACTTTTTTAATATATTTTTCAATGATACTGAAAAGAAATGATCAATCCCTCGGAAATTGTGAATCATATCGCAATTGCAATTTCAGTCAATATATTTGCACGTGGTTTTGGTTTCGTTCAGCCCAAAGGGAGCCTCCATATCCCAGGGATCATTTGGCCTTAAATATTTGACTATGTATAAAAGTCAGTGGAAATGTGTATTCGACATGCTTCACAAGCTTAACATAATTAAGCGTTAGAGTTTATGCACATAGCTCACTATGCGAGATTCCAGGTTGTTTTCTACTTGAAATAATGAACTACTCCTTACCTTAATAGAAATCTGTGTGGTTTCCATCATGTGGTGCACCTGCTTCATCTTAGACATACTCTTACTCGCTACATGTGCAAGTCTCTTCAGTGTAGACTTTCCTTTACCCTGTCTTATCATCTCATCTCTGTGGCTCGGCTGCTCCGCATTTTCTTTATCGTCAGCTCTTTTGCCATTTGTTTTTCCATCTTCCGATCCTTTCTTAGTCCCTTCCTTAGCCAGCACCTGTAGGGTGTTCTCACATTTAGATGACTGCTGGTGGGCGGCAACTTCCTGAGGTGTTGAGATTGAGTCAACATTAATTGAAATAGGAAAGGTCACAACGTTGCTGGACAAAGCCGATGTGGGATTTTCTTCACTATCAGAGGGGCAGTCAAACGTAGACTCTCCATTGCTCTGTGTTTGATTGTGCATAGTGGGAATATGTGGGCAGGGGGTGGAACGAAAATGTTTATCAAGTGTAATGTTTTGAGATTGGAGTGAGAAATCCATACTTTGAACTCCAGAGGATAAAGGCCCTGGGGTTGGATGTTCAGTTTGGGTTGACTGCGTAAAATAACCTCCCACTATATTTTCAACAGTTTGCGTGCCTATGGATACACATTTTCCCATTCTGGATGGAGATTCTTGGTCTCTCCTCTCAGCCATCTCATTCTGAACTTGTGCATCCTGCATTGTTCTGCCTTCATTCCTCTGTTTTTCCTCCAAATGTTCCAGTCCTTGAACAAGGTCTGTGATCCCAAACTTTCGGGCTACCGACAGCACGTCTTCCTGCTCTACACCTCCTTTAACCTCCAGCTCCCCTGAGTACAGAAGGCTAACCAGCTTCAGCAGCGTCTGGCCCTTCAGGGCCTGGAGCTGGAGCTGCCGCTTCTGGCCCCTTGGAGGAGACATGGAGGCTGATAGCTTCTCAGACAGGTAAGGACTCAGCGCTGCAAGGATGCAACTGTGGGTTGGGACTGAGATACCTTTACAAGTAGTAAGAAGAAGAAATATGGGTTAATGTTTAACTACTCTTTAAAACGTTAACGTTAAAGGTTGCCACCCAGTTCATCCTCACCCTCAGTTTGCAACAAGGTATCACAGAATCGGGCATTGTGTTGTTGTTTCTGCAGCTCCTCTAGAAGCTTCATCTCATAATCTGGCCACCTGTACCGCTGCATGTCCACATGGGTACTGGGAGGAGGAGGGACAAAAGACAAGGGGAGGACAGATAAAGCAGTATGACTTGAATTATTATGAAACTCACGCATTTACACCTTCAACTGTTGCTACCATGTACGTATAAATCTACCTGATCACTGGTAGGCTACTGCCCAAATCAAACGTCACCTTCATTTCCATTTTAGAATGTGTTTTAATCTCGATTCGTTCATTTAATTGTCAATTGTTAAAGCCCCTCGCATGCTGCCAATGTCAATACATGCATATACACTCGATACGATGTATCTATTACATTTTAAAGCTAGTTTTTCTCTAAATGCAAGCAAGGTTTGAGTTTACAAAAATATACAAATGTCACTCTTTAGCTTTGCAGAATTACCATAGCCTACGCGGCACGTGGAGAACTGCGCTCCAGCAATGTCAACCTTGGTGAATGTGATGGTTAAACATTTCATTTGTTTGTAATATTGTATTTTCCCGCTCCCATTTATTCTACCAACCATAGTCAACATTCAGCAAATTGGGGCTAGAACTTAGCTAGCAAGTTAGCAGAAAAATAAACCAGAAATAAATAATAAACATGCAATGTCCACCGTATTCACACTAACTAGCTTAATAATGCAGTCCGTTGCAATACATGTTTATTTAAACTATTTAAACCGAAAGCAGTTCAACTCAGTGTGGTCAAGTTGTTAGCTAAACGCTATGCAGCTAACGTCGGGTAGCATTAGCAGGAAAGTACACTCACCTGTAGCATTCTACACACCGTCTGTTGCACGAGTAGAGGTATTTTGGGTTACTTAAGTGTATTTGCAAAAATGACAAGTGTTTTCCAAAGGAGAAGAAGCTTTACATGCATAAACTAACACGGTTCCTACCGTATCTGTTGTGTCTTAATCTAAAGCGCCACCGCCAGCCGCTCTGTGAAATGACACTTAGGAAAACTAGCATAACGTGACAAATTAATGTTATTCTTCTTTATAAAAGCACAGGCTGATAAACAGTTGACAATAAAAACAAAAGCTCTGCGAAATCATTTCTTTTTTATTAAAAACAGTATTGCTAGTTACATAATTCATTCATAAATGAAAATGTGCAACTTTTAAGAGCCAAGGCAAAGAGATTAAGTGGTAGTCCAGAATCAGATGTTCCAATAATGTTCCAGTATCTGATGGCTGCGTTGGTGGATTTTTGTTTAGCTAACTCGTTTTGCATTTAAGTAAGACATGAAGCTGAATGTTTTTTAATTAAAACATAAAAACTGATTGCATATGCATTCACCAAGAGCACCCGAAACAATTAAACCCAAATCAATATTTAAAAAAAGGAAATGCATAAAACCATTAAAATTAACAAATATTCTCTTGTATATATAGTTTAAATGTGCTTTTATTTTTTCTCTGCTTTTTTCTAATAGCAAATTCTGGTCTATGCCTCAATACACTGCAACTTTCCAACCCTTACTCTCCCCTTTTCTCCTCTTTTTTAGTCAGTCCACTCTTGAAGACAACGCGTTACATTGAGAAAAATGAGGCATCCTGTCGTGATTCAATTGGCATGAGGAAAGGTAGAAAAAGAAGAAAACATACATTCCCCCCCGTGCTTCTTTTAATCATCCACTCAGTATCTACATCTCACTCGGCACTAAACATGTTTCTACATAACTGTATGTAAGAAATGTAGGTAAAAGCAGACAGCACTGTGTCTTCTCCCATGTACTGTTGTGTAGTGTTAAAGACAGGTAGACTTTGAAGCAGTACATTAGAGTTGTATACCTTATAAAAAGACATTTCCAATTACATCACACGAGCAAGATCCTGTCCCATTATTTTTTGCAGAATAGAAAACAGGCGAGTTTAATGTACAGTATTCCCCAACTGCTGAGAAAAATACACCTTGTTTGGTTACCTCCCCCCCCTCCCCTGTTTCATGTTAGGCACACTCATCAGAACTATCCTGATAAGCGAGGCACTCCAGTTAGCCCACATACAGAGATGCTGTTTGTTTGAACACATTCATAAGATTTACAGACGGAAATGCTGCCCAGGAATCCTGTAATATCTCCCAAGAATCACAAAGTTAAGATGCTTACACTTAACAGAAACGCCACTTAACAGAAACGTAGAATACACCGACGAGATGGAGAATAATTATATGTTTGTATTGATACTGGCACCTCCACCCTTTTACATCTACAGATCACAAACCTATACAGAAATACGCAGCAGCCCCCATGAATCATGTTGACCGTCACAAGCTGCAAACAAAACAAAGCAGACGCCGGTTTGTTGCATTTAGAATTGGCAGCGGTAGCAGTGTCATTTGGCACATGTACATTAACTATGGTACAGAGCGGATTAAGAAGAGGAACAACCACAACCAAAAACAGAAGCAGAAGCTTTCACACATATCTGATTAGATCATTAAACATTGGTTATCAATGGTAGGAAAAACATTTGTTTGTAGTATTGAACAATCATAGAGAGAGAAAGACATGTCCTTGAAGTGTTGTGTAAAAGTTCACCAAAAAGGGTCCTGTTCTGACCACAGTCTCTGCCTTTGGTTGAAGAGAGAATTAATGTTGTCCAGGCGAGTTGCAGTGTCGTAGTGTAGCTTGGAGATGTAGTGTTGTAGCCGTGGTGTCTGATCGAGTGGTTTTGGAGTTAAGGGTCTCGCGGCGCACAAAAGTGGTCAAAGTGTCTCGTCCGGTTTTCCACAGGGAGCGTAGATCCACGTCCGTTTGTCTCCGTGTGATTTTGTTAAGTTTTCCAAGCTGCGATAAAGGAATGTAACCAAAAGGGAAAGAGAGAAAGAAGAGGAGCTGCAAAAAGAGTGAAGAGGGGACAGGAGAGTTGAGTGTAAAGGATGGAGTTTTGAGTCCCATCCGTAGTGTTGTGGTCCCCCATTTGTCAGTTCAGCAAGGGCAGTAGGTGGGAGGAGGCTGTCGTCTCGTGATGCACACTATCAGTTTTTCTGCAGGAGGAGAAGAAGGGTCAGAGGTGATCACATGTGAAAGGTAGGGTCAATTCTAAACCTACCCCTATGGGGTCCCAATCCGTCTGTAGTCACACTCAGAGCTGAAGGAGGCTCCCTTCTTTCAGTTAGAGGACATAGATACAGCAGCGTGTTTTGGATCCAACTACACTCTCTCTGACAGAAAAATGTCATTTTCACAATAACGCTTTCAAATAGGCACCTCTCAGACCAAACATTTTTTTAAATTATAATATAATAAAACTCCCAAAAACTTGTGGCAATTAGTTTTTGCAACAGTCCATAGAAATTGTTACAATCAAATTCTCTATTCCACTTTTTAAGTATTTGTATTTTAATGTCTGAACACACTGCTGCTTGTGTAACAAAATTATTTCCCAAAGTGGGATCAATAAAGTATCTATCTAACAAGTCTACCATATTCTAGACTAGACACAGGTATAATAACCTTCTATAGTAACCCTCAAGTTATCATCTGTATGACAATATTACATGTATTTTATTTTGCGCAGTTTACTCATAAATGTTTGATATGGAACTGTTTGTCGACAGCATGTTTCTTGACATACACAAACACTGTTTGCATGTGATCAGATAGTGTAGGTGGATAGTCAGGGCCGATGCAAACTCGCTGTTGGAGGGCTTGATAACCCACTCCCACGTGTTGGTTTGGACCATCACTTAATGTGGTGGACTCTCCACACAAACACAGAATGGAAGGGTGTAGAGGTTGGTTTGGAATTGGGCAGTTGGGTCATAACCAACCCTTACACCCTCGCAAAGAGTGTCCCCCACATTAAGTGCCGTTCCAAACGAACTTGTGGGGAGCGGGGGTTATCGAACTCTCCAACAGGTAGTCATTTACCCTTCAACAGCTAATCTGCACCACCTGAGAACGTATTATGGAACGAATGAGTACAAATAGTTTCGTGCAAACATTTACAAATAATTGTGCAAACTAAGATAGTTTTATGTAACAACTTCAGGGTTTACTTGGGACCATATATACCCGGGTGTGGTCTAGAAAATGGTTGACGTGTGCATTTGCCTGATAGCTTTTTTCTATATTTACAGGAACAAAAACCAAGACGCTCTTAATCATCACATTTTACAAACTAGACTAAAAAGAAATGGCACTTAAGATTCTTTGAGTTTTACGTAATTTTTTTTTATACTGATTTCAAACCATGGTTACGAAGTGAGTCCCAAAGCATGCCGCTGTATTTGCACCCGCCACATTGAAAAAAATTAGACTACAGAGGGAGTTTACTCCATCACTGAGATGGCTTGTGTATGGGTCGGTTTGGAATTTAGACATAATGTGAGACGGGAAAGAAATAAAATAAAAATCAAAGAATTCACAGACGAGGCTTTAAAAAAACACATTGCACAAAAGTGGCTGCTGGCAACAAAGTCACCACATGGTAGACAAAAAAATGACACAAACTGTGCACATAGAAATAAACAACATCACAGGAGAAATAAATATACACTTTTCACCAGGGGGAGCAAAAACAGTACAATGGAAGCTCATTGACTACACTGGTCACTGTCAAACACAAATAGTCACAGCTCTTAGTACACTGAGATATTAGGCCATGCAGTGAGAGGAGCAGCTGGTGGGACACACATACCATGCGCTGACATGCAGTTTGACAGTGGGTGAAGCCTAACCATCGTAAGAATCCATTAGAGGCAAAGAGGCCTGCCTCTCCCCATACATCCCTCCCTGAGAGAGAGAAGGAGAGATACACAAGAAAGAGCAGGAGTGTGTGATAGAGAAAGGTGACATACAGGAGGCGGTGAATAGAGAGGGTTATAGAGGGAAAAAGGGAAATAAGGCCATCAGACGAGAAAAGAAAGAAGGGTTATGAAAAGGTTAGTTTATTGTTAGGTCATGTTTCAGGGGGAGAAAAAAGAATATCGGTGAGAAATGTGTGTGAAACACACGGATCAAAACGCAGTGCTTTAACAAGACATGCATAGACATGCTGTCTGTGGGTGTGTGTGAGAGCACATCCGTTCACACGCTAACATTCTTAGCAGGAGGTGAGGATATTGGTCTGTGTGTTGTCCTGAAACCTTAAAAAGTTGTGTGTGTGTTGCACATGATTAACAACTTTCATATTTCCAAATGTTTCAGCTAGGTGCCCAGAATGCTGATGTCTCCTGAGGGAACGAGTCCATGGATGAAGCAGAGGCAAGCTAATTATTAAAAGATGTTTAGCAAATCGGGAACTGGCCTGCACTATAAGTGTTTTCTAGAAACTGATAAGGTAAGGGGATGCAGAGAGTATGCATCAGTTTATGTTAGGACTGAGGGAGTTATTCTCATTAAAGGGATAGTTTGGATGTTTGAAGTAGGGTTGCATCAGGTATTTGTCCATAGTCAGGATATTATTTATGCTATGCTGCTGCTGCTCCATACTTATATACAGGACTGTCTCAGAAAATTAGAATATTGTGATAAAGTTCTTTATTTTCTGTAATGCAATTAAAAAAACAAAAATGTCATACATTCTGGATTCATTACAAATCAACTGAAATATTGCAAGCCTTTTATTATTTTAATATTGCTGATTATGGCATACAGCTTAAGAAAACTCAAATATCCTATCTCTAAATATTAGAATATCATGAAAAAGTATACTAGTAGGGTGTTCAACGAATCACTTGAATCGTCTAATTAACTCGAAACACCTGCAAGGGTTTCCTGAGCCTTGAAAAACACTCAGCTTGGTTCAGTAAACTAAATCACAAGTATGGGGAAGACTGCTGATCTGACTGCTGTCCAGAGGACCGTCATTGACACCCTCCATCAGGAGGGTAAGACACAAAAAGAAATTTCTCAAAGAGCAAGCTGTTCACAGAGTGCAGTTTCAAAGCACATCCACAAAAAGTCTGTTGGAAGGGGGAAATGTGGCAGGAAACGCTGCACAACCAAGAGAGATGACCGCAGCCTTAACAGCATTGTGAAGAAGAGTCGCTTCCAGAATTTGGGGGAGCTTCAAAGACAGTGGACTGAAGCTGGAGTCCAGGTATCAAAAGTCACTGTTCACAGACGTGTCCGGGAAATGGGCTACCATAGCCGTATTCCCATGGTCAAGCCACTTCTGAACTCAAGACAACGGAAGAGGCGTCTGACTTGGGCTAAGGAAAAGAAGCACTGGACAGTTGCACAGTGGTCCAAAGTCCTCTTTTCAGACGAAAGCAAGTTTTGTATTTCATTTGGAAGTCAAGGCGCCAGAGTCTGGAGAAAGGCTGGAGAGGAGCAAAATCCAAGTTGCTTGAAATCCAGTGTGAAGTTCCCACAGTCAGCGATGGTTTGGGGAGCCATGTCAGCTGCTGGTGTTGGTCCACTGTGTTTCATCAAGCCCAGAGTAAATGCAGCTGTGTACCAAGAGATTTTAGAGCACTACATGCTTCCGTCTGCTGAAAAGCTCTATGGAGATGAGGAATTCATTTTCCAGCATGATCTGGCACCTGCCCACAGTGCCAAAACCACCAGTAACTGGTGTACTGACCATGGCATTACTGTCCTCGATTGGCCTGCAAATTCCCCTGACCTGAACCCCATAGAGAATATGTGGGGTATTGTGAAGAAGAAGCTGAAAGACACCAGACCCAACAACGCTAATGAGCTAAAGGCCGCTATTGAAGCATCCTGGGCATCCATAACACCTCAGCAATGCCACAGGCTGATTGCCTCCATGCCACGCCGCATTGATGCAGTAATCCGTGCAAAAGGATTCCCAACCAAGTACTGAGTGCATTAATGGACATTTTCAAATGTTTGATTGTGTTTTGCTGTTATAAATCTTTTTTTTTTACTTGGTCTGAGGAACTATTCTAATTTTTTGAGATAGGATTTTTGAGTTTTCTTAAGCTGTATGCCATAATCAGCAATATTAAAATAATAAAAGGCTTGCAATATTTCAGTTGATTTGTAATGAATCCAGAATGTATGACATTTTTGTTTTTTTAATTGCATTACAGAAAATAAAGAACTTTATCACAATATTCTAATTTTCTGAGACAGTCCTGTATACACTGCGTATGGATAACTACCGCACATAACCCTACTTCAAAACATCCAAACTATCCTTTTAAAGTGCAGTCAGGCAGGGTAACGTGTGTGGGAAGAGTGAGAAGAATGTGTATGTGTGTGTGTCTGTGTTTGTGTCCAGGTTTTTACCTGTACTGCATTTCTGTCAGCAGGTTCGAGTGTGTTATCCAGAGTATTCCTTCTGCCTCTCTGGTCCAGTGTGGAGTAGGCATCTGAGGGAGAAAATCATATGTTAAACCACAGGTGTTTGTAACGCAAAAATATCACTAACATTGACAAGTTAGCCTATTATAAAGCTGTGTGCGTGTGTTTTTAATTGTCCCACTTGCCTGGTCCCATGTCGTTCAGTGGAATCATTTCCCGGTCCCCTTTGCCCCCTGTGTGAAAAAAATAGATAAAAACACTGAGCATGGACATGTAATGAGAAATGTTATAGCTGTTAGAGAGCCAGTGTTAGCAGCTGGACCATCTCCTTCCAAAGATAGATCAGTGTGTAGGTGTGTGAGTGTTTTGGAAGAGTTTCAAGTGTCAGAAATGAGCCAGTGAGTTTTTGCAAATATATAATTTAGACTGTGTGATGGGTGGATTTTAGTAACTTTACAAATCCAGGCCAAATAGCTTAAAAGATATTTTGAACAATTGAAGGGGATTTTTCTTTTCCATAAAGGCAATGACAGATAACCCTGTTAAGGATTATCTTAAAACCCCCACAGTGGTAAACCCTTTAATGTGTCCTATGATAAGCAGGTTGAGACAAACGAGTCCATTACAACTCCCATTTCATTCCCTAAAAGTCTGCAAACAGCCTATTGTCATATCATATTAACAACTTATTATCTGCAGCACGTGGAAATGGAGTGCAGATTATTTTTAAAACATCAGTTACATTTGTAAAATGTGAAGCATTACTGTGGAGATTAAGCGACACGCTAGACTTGTGTTTCCCCAAAAGAAACACTAGAATTAGAGCTCTTCAATGCCCTACATCAAAAGCGGCAAACTCCATATCTTCATTAAATCAGTCTTTAATCAACCAGAATCTGACCTGTGTGCAAAGTCATTCATAAGTCAAATAAAAAGCTACATCTAAAGATCTACATCTGACCCCCAACGGTTTAACTTTTACCAGTATACTATAAGTCATCTTTGTGTTTTTGACGTTAAATTAACAATGAAATATACTATGAACTAATAATGCTGTTAGAGCAAGTTTTGTTTTGGGAAAAAGTCCTTTAATATTGTCACCTAGTAGGGACAAAGTGAAGAGGAAGCCTATTAAAAGAGACAAATATGGTCAACCTGTGTGGAAGATGCCAACAACAGTGTTCTCTTAATACCTCATTCACACCAACAGTGTTTCAGGGCCGGTTCGGAGCTGGAGCTTGAAAAGCACCGGGTTTTCCTGTTCACACTGCAGCGGAGCAGCCTCTTAGCTCCGGAATCCGGTTCGTTTCAAGCACCAAAAAATTGTCCGGCTAGAGCAAAAGCACCGCATACGTCACGCTTACGTTGAGGTGGGGGCAGGGGCGGGATCAACTCCTGAACAACAACAAAAAGCCGGCGTTTTATCCAGTTTGTACACAACGATGAAGAAACTTAACAAGCAGCAGTGGTCCACTGAAGAGACCAGCTACCTACTGGGAATCTGGTCTTCCGAAGAGGTACAGAGGAAGCTGGAGCACAATCGGCCATTGTTGTTGTTGTCGGTGTCAGCTGTGAGGGGTTTCCGCGCGGTTTGGCTTTATGAAGCAGGCACGCAAACGGTTACGTCATGACGCAAACGATGACGCAATGACGCAGCACCAGTCTGACTCTGGGCAATGTGAAAAGAGCCGGAGCTAAACCGAAGAACCGGTTCTGAACCTGAAATGCTCTAGCACGGAGCTTGAACCGGAGTTGCGTTGGTGTGAATGAGGTATAAATGGTCATTTTAGTCTTAGTCCATTTCTTAAGGCTTTTTTCTTGCTGAATGATTTCTTTATTTCTAAGAAAATTAGGAGCACATTTTTGTTGAATTTATCATTTAAAGTGGTGCTTTTGCCTAATTCTTTGTGGAGAAACGTAGTGGATTTAATATGTGAAGCTAATTGATTAGTCGACACAATTGTACGGGTGTTAGTACACCAAGGTTTTTACTTTAGTTCAGGACAGCCGTAGTAGTGTGTGTCATAAATATTTGATTTCACTGTGGCTGTTAGTACGAGAATTTGAACAACCAATTTTGTTTTTCTGTGACCAAGTCGAGGTTGAAATCCCACTGTGTTGAAACTCCTTTCATTTTCTCAATTGAGCATCCTCCTTTGATCTGAGTGCTCATATTATCCGCTGTAGTGGAAGTGAAGCGCTGCAGCACTTTATACGGACACGATCGTGAGAACGCTCCGCTTTAAACCTGACCTTGAGCCTGTCAAGAATGACCAATGAATTATTCAGTCTGCTGCAAACCTATGGCCGATGCATCAAACCCTCTTCCTTTCTGCTACCCAGAACCCCCTGTGCTGCAAGGTGTTTTATTCATGGCTGTGTCGTGAGAGATGTTTTCTGTTGCCTTGCTGTGTGCTGATGGTATGGAGTCTCCTGGGTGTCAGCAGCATGGTGGTGTGACACGTCTGTTAGTAAAGACAGACCTGCAGGAGATGTGCCCACCTCATCTATTTCTATTCACTTAATAATAATAATAATACATCATATTTATATAGCGCCTTTCACGAAACCCAAGGTCGCTTTACAAGTCGGGTAGGGGGGGGAGTAGGGGAAAAGAGGCAGACAGGTTAGGGGGGGGGGCAAGCAAGTAGCGGAAAAATAACCTATCAAACTAACTATATAGTGGGGAAAGCCTTGGTGAAAAGGTGCGTTTTGAGGGCTTTTTTGAAAGTGTCCAGGGTTGGGGCGCTGCGGATTTCGGGGGGGGTAGAGAGGA